GTCTGTTCAGAGCAGTGGTCTTGAAAGGAGGCGTCGGCGTTTGGGAACAGCCGCCATCAGCCATGTCAACTTCCAAATGCTACGTGATCACCAGTGTGCCCTGGTGTGGGTAGACGCCTGCAGGCACAATAAAGCCTTCTCCAAGTCATGGGCGTTCGGCTGCAACAGTTCGAAAATACGAGACCCATCGCCCTGGCGCCCTGCAGGCTCCCCACCTGCGACAGAGCTCCTCCGCAGATTGGTGCTGTCCCAAACCAGAACACCCACTGCAAGCAGTCGCCAGGCCCTGGCTGCATTGGATGCATGAGCGCAAACTGGTGCCACGAATCCTGGCACACATCAAAAGCGGTTCTCCGGACTGCCCCCTCTCGCCCTCCGAGAGCCTGGAAGTGGCAACTCTGGCACACACAGCTCTAAAATTGCCCTGCCCTTCGGACATGAGCCCCGAGGCAGGACAGCCATACAGACTCCACCTGCTGCAGGCCCTGGCCAACTTTTGGGGTGACCCGGACATGGCCCTGTTGCCATTTCTGCAACACGGGGTACCGGCAGGAGCTGTGTCAGCCTTGCCACCCAGCCTTCAATGGCCAGCAAAGAAGCCAGACTCCGCGCTGCCGCCGGATCTGGAAATTTGTGGAAAATGGCCGAAGACGAGCCAGAAACCGTGCAAGGCCTGCTGCGCAATGAAATTGCCAACAACTGGATTGTAGAAACCAGCCTTAGCATAGCCGACGCTCGGGAAAAATGGCCCTTAGGCATCGCCGTAGGCAAGTTAAACGTTGTCTTTGCAGAAGGGAAAGAACCGCACCTTGTCCTGGACAGCACCGTGTGCCAAGTGAACACCAGATGCCATCTGCCAGAGCGCCTGAGCTTGCCAATGGCATCAGACCTGGCGTTGTCCACGCAGCCAGAAGACACTCCAGGCGCCTTCATAGGCGCCAGCATTGACTTCAAGGCTGCACACAAACAGGTGCAAGTCCGCCCGGAAGAGCATGGCCTTCTGCTCTTCGTCTTCGCCTTTCAAGGAAAGCTCTACCATTACAGAGTCTGCCATTTTGGAGGCCGTTTCTCGGCGTTCTGGTGGCAGCGCACCGGCGCATTTTTGCTTCGCCAGGTGCATGGATTGCTGGCCTGGAAGCCCCACAAAGCCTTCCTCTTTGTGGACGACCTTCTGTGTGCACTCCTCCGGGATAGCGCACCAGATATGTTTGCCTTGGTGGTGCTTTTCTTTTGCGCCATTGCAGCGCCCGTTTCATGGAAAAAGGCGCAATTCCAGGATAGCCTTGTTTGGTGCGGTTGGGAGATCAACTTCTCCCACGACACCATTCAGCTCGTGTCCGCTAACCAAGCTGGACGCCCTGATCAAAGCACTGCTGGGGAACCGACGGGTACCCCGCAAAACACTTGAGCAGTGCATAGGCCTGCTCATTTGGGCCACCAGCATTGCCGTACATCTCAGATCCTGGCTAGCGCCACTGTATTCGGACCTCAACAGCCCACCAGGCTCAATGCACTCGACACCGCCTCAAATGTGGTCAGCGTTTAGAGCATCCTTGAACAAGGATCTCAGAACTAGCCATAGCCTCCCGTGCTTGTGGATCACAGTGGGCTCCAAAATCCTGAAAATTTCAGGTCGCACCATGCACTGCCCTCAGGACGTCCCGCGAGTGCCTGGCACTAGCAAGCCCACATGGGTGCGCATCGCGGACCCCAACAACCCCTACACTAGCCTTTCCAAGTCAAGCCAACAATGCCTTACTTGGCTGGCGTCGTGCTTTCGGCGCTCGCCTATTCAGCCCTTGGCGCGGCCACACCAGCTGCAAGCTCTGGCTGCCGCGGATGCGTGTGCCGAAGACGATTTGGTTGGAATCGGGGGCTGGGCAATCACATCCTCCCAAGTAGTTTGGTTTGCCGAGACCTGGAACATGCAAGACATACGAGCCGTGTGGCCTTGCCTTGTAAAGCCTGCGCAGCGCTACATTGCATGCTTCGAGACGCTGGCACAGTTAGCACTACTGCAAGCCACCCACAGCCACATTGGTGGTGGGCACTACTCGTTCAGCATGCCTTCAGGCACGGACAATTCCGCAACGGAAGCAAGCCTTAACAAGTTGTTGACGACCTCCTGGCCGTTGCAACTCTTCGTGCAATTAACAGCCTTCTGGGCGCACGCCCACAACGTGCTGCTGCAACCGACGCACGTTCCAGGAAGGTGCAACGATTGGGCAGACGATAACGTCAGCAGAGGTCGGTTGGCCCGATTCAGCCATCGCCCAGAAAGTCGCATACGCTTCAGCCCTGAGGCCTAGCGAATTCAGGCCGAGGCATTCAGCTGTGTCCGATGCATGCGCCCTGGCGCCCGGAGCATTTGGCAGCAGCCTCCGTCACTGCTTAGACAGCCTTATTTGCATCCCGACACGCCTTGCGACCGCATGGCCGTCGTCGCCCCGTCAGCCAGACCACTGGCGACGTCAGACAGCCGCTTATATCAAGCCGCTCTGACCGGAAAAAGTGCAGACCCTGAGTCACAGGCTGCTCACAGCCCAGCGTGCATGGCCACGCAAACATTTGCCCTGCCAGGTACAACCCCACTCTGAAGGGCGGGTGATGAGGCCTGAGGCCCAGCGGGCTCGCTTATACCGGGGTTGCCTGAAACACTGAAGGGGTGGTCAATGCGCCTCCTGTTCCAGGCGCACCAGTGCCCTGGAAACAGTGCTACTTTCAGCAATCCCGGTAAAAAGAACTGCGGCCGCTTCGGACGAGCTTTGTTCTTTTGGGGTTTCATGTTTGGGTTCAAGCTAGGAGCAGTGCAACATGCCTTAACGCTTAGGGTTTCTTTTCCCTTGTGTTTAGGGCATGTGGTGAATCGAACTACGCGTTGGCCGTTTTGCTCCTAGCCTTGACCCAAACCTGCGGTTTCATTTGAAACCCACCCACCCACCCTGCACTGCCCTATACCAGGCTCTGCAGGTATAAGTGGCAGACGCCCTGCACTTTCATGATGGCCTCCGGGCCCTTTGGTCTCCGGACCCGGTCTCCGGACCCACATTGGTCTCCGGACCGCGAGTCTCCGGACTCTTCGGTCTCCGGACCTGGGGCGTGGGCACGCATGCCGCGCCCCATCAAGCACTGCCTTTGTAAGCAAGGACACGCATTGTCTTGCCTTTTCACATTTCGGGGGGTCAATGCGCCTCCTGTTCCAGGCGCACCAGTGCCCTGGAAACAGTGCTACTTTCAGCAATCCCGGTAAAAAGAACTGCGGCCGCTTCGGACGAGCTTTGTTCTTTTGGGGTTTCCAGATTTTTGGTTTCAAGCTAGGAGCATGCACCATGCCCTTAAGCGCATTAGGGTTTCTTTTCCCTTGTTTTTTATAGGGGCAATGTGGTCGAAATCGAAAAACTTAAAAACGCTGATTTGCGGCCGTATTGCTCCTAGCCCCTTTGACCCAAACCTGCGTTTTCATTTGAAACTGGACACCAGACCCGACCCTGCACTGGCCCTATACCCAGGCCTGCAGGTATAAGGTAGGCAGACTCCCCTGCACTTCATGATGGCCGTGCCGGGCCCTTTTGGTCTCCGGCCCGGTCTCCGGAACCCACATTGGTCTCCGGACCGCGAGTCTCCGGACTCTTCGGTCTCCGGACCTGGGGCGTGGGCACGCATGCCGCGCCCCATCAAGCACTGCCTTTGTAAGCAAGGACGCGCATTGTCTTGCCTTTTCACATTTCGGGGGGTCAATGCGCCTCCTGTTCCAGGCGCACCAGTGCCCTGGAAACAGTGCTACTTTCAGCAATCCCGGTAAAAAGAACTGCGGCCGCTTCGGACGAGCTTTGTTCTTTTGGGGTTTCATGTTTGGGTTCAAGCTAGGAGCAGTGCAACATGCCTTAACCCCTTTGCATTTTTTTGTTTCCGCGTGTTGCGACTTTCGCCTCGTCATTTTTTCCGTTTCGTTCGTGTTGGATTTTGTGGGGCAGTGTTGTAAAAGTAAGTAAGTTGGCGCCAAAATGCGCAAGCTGGTTTTTAAGGTGAAAGGTTTCCACAATCGTTTCAAGGGCAAGATTGGAGGCTCGGAAAGCAACGCGACAGGCATTTGGTTTCTTGGGGGGAATTTTGCCGGTCTTCTTGGAGGACCGGAGTTGAACCATTCTTATTTTTTTTTTGGCTTGTTTCGAGGGACTTGACCGGTTCTGAGGGGTTCTCAGGGGCCCAAAGTTGGACTGGTTTGGGGATTTGAGTGGTTTCTGAAAAGGAAAGGGACCGGTTTCTGACAGGAGTTGGACCTGTTTTTCCCGGGTGCCGACCGCTTCCAGGCTTGCTCTGGAAGAGGCAGCGCAACATGGGTTTGGGGGGATGGACGATTTTTGGGTTTATTGTGCCTTTGACTGCGGGATGATTTCACTTACACCATCAATTTCCATTTGCCAATGTTATTTGGAAAGTCTGGGCCACTGCCAAGGTCCCACAAAAACGTGCGTCGGTGGAGCGTTTTTTAATAGTATTCTTCACTTAGCTCCAATCAGTATGCCCAGCATATAGTAACACGGGAATTCTATCATGAACTAACCATATTGAACATAAACTCAATTGTAGACTTATCTTATTCAATGGAATTAGGAGCCACCATGTAATGTTTTTTTAAAATGCATTTTGTACATGTATATACTGTATATATATATATACAAGTATATTTGAATGAATTCGTATTTTGAGCTCATTTATAATTATATATATATATACGTTGCTTATATTTGATAGATTTTAGAATGCAAGTACAATAAACAGATGAAACCACTTCAATGCAATGCAATGGAATTCAATGCAATGTTTTGCAATGCACGTGTCCAACGTTTGGCCAGTCTCACAATTGTTCTTGCATTTGGGCTCAAGTGTTGTGGAAGTTAAACTTGCGCCCAAGTCGGCCCACATGGTTCAGAACTGGTGCCATTCAAGCAAGGCACGTCCATGTGTGAATTCGTGGCTTGATTCCTCCCTCACTGACAAACGAGCAAAGGAGAGTTGTGTTGGCGGGTTGCCCGGCTGCATGGGCCAGTGGCGCGGCGCTGTGCTGCTTGTGGGCTTCATCCTATGTGTCTGCGCCGCAGTTTCGATGCACGTGACACATTTTGAAAGGGTGGGGATTGTATGTTTGCCCAAGCTGTTTGATCTCTGTATTGATTCGTGCTTTGTAATGTTTGCGTTTTCAATTCAAAAGGGAATACAGTACGAGGAACTGCTGTGTTGATCTTGTCGCTTCTTTGCGATGTGCATGTGTGGTCGTCAGTTTATCTCAGCAGTGCGCGGGAGAGCTGCAATGCCAAACTTATGCAACATAATTTCCAAGAACCCGAATATTTTGTTAATGAGTTAGTAGTTAGTTTGTTTGTTCATTTGTTTTGGTTGATTGTTTGTTTGATTGTATCATTTGCGATAGAGGTGCCAGGTTTGACACAACTTGTTCTTGGTCTTCAGGGGACTTTGGAGAAAATGCACTTCCTGAAGATTCCATCATGTGATCATAAAGGCAACGCTGTAAAGCAACTCTGGGTTGAGAAGTTTCCGGTGGCAAGGCAAGCAGACGCTCTTCGCGCGAGTGGGGCTTCCTCGCCAAGGTGGCGAGGCGGGTTTGGTGGAAGCACTTGTGGAGATGTTTGGAGAAACCAACATCAAACAGCAAAGGCCGTCATGAAGTGGTGGGGTCAGGGACAACCCTAAAAAATGAGCCAACTTCTGGAAAACCTTTTTGTGAGCAGCGATGCTTCATGCCACATTGCGTGCTTTCGAGAGCTGCTAGCAGCTATAGCAACGAGAACCCTGCCAGGTCTTGTTCTTGGCGTCTTGGACTGCAGCAAGTCGGTGTGACAACGTTTGAGGTCAGTGATTCCCAAAGCCACGACCCCTGGATCCAAAATGAAAGCTGCGTCGCTGTTGTACGCCACGCAACTGGAGTCCAATGGAGGGTTGCTGGCTCAGTCAACAACAGAGGAGACCAAGAGCATGCTTTTATGATGTAGGTTTGTGCCACCCCGAGGATTGCGATGACTGCCTTTATCAAAATAACTGGACTACAGCCGATAAGCTGACGGCCGCTTGGTATTTACGGTGGTGCACGCAGGTCCATTTTTGGTTTGGCTGTTTCTGAAGGTGAGCTGGGAATTAGCGGTCATTTGTCAGGAAAGCATTGCTCACTACACTGCACGTCTTGGTGTGAGCGAGAAGAAGGCCTATGATTTGCTGGGGTCTTAGTGCAGCAAATGTTGGCCTCTTTGGTGAAAGCAGGTGACCACAGGGCAGGAGACAGAGCCTTGATCGATTCACATCGAATGTTCTAAATCTTAAATTCAAGAGGCCTTACTCACCAATGGATAGGAACATGCCAAGTCAAGCACCCCACACAAGTCGCCACCATCCGCCACACGGGCCTCCTACTTGCCAGAACCCTCGTTGGCCTGTGTGTAGCAGAGGCGTCAACTCCCAAGCTCAATTCAACATTTGATTTCACCCTTCACGTTTGGTTAATCCGGCTCAGGGCATGTTTTGACTATGGGTCAAATGGGTGTTTTTTTTTTTTTGCGGGTGCCCTTTTCGTGCAGGGAAACAGTTGTGAACTAGCTTGTTACTGAAGGCACGCCGATCGTCCAGGTATCAGGAGTATGGCACAGCCCTAAAGGGGCTCCTGGCTGAGAAGATCCTGGACAGGGAGGGCGCGGAAGTGTGCCGTGGCAAGAAGGAGAGAAGGGTTTTTGGGCGGAGAAGGAGGGCGAGAAGGAGGGCCTTGGTCATGTTTTAATCGTCCTGTGTTTCTGGTAATTCTGGAAGCAGCTTTGGAAGCTCATGGGTTGACGCGGGCTGGACAAAGTTGAGGTACTTGCAAGAAGTGCACAAGATCGACCTTTCTGAGTCTTGGCAGCACGGCCGTTTTCATTTGTTGCAAGCAAGGGCCGCCGCTTACGGAAGCCACGTTAGGGAGTCCTCCAGAGATGTTGTAGCGCCGGCTCACATTTTGAGGTTGCCGACAGCAGAGTTCTGTTTTTGACTACCCCAAGGAAGACTTAAACCCGATTCCCCCAAAAGGGAAACCTGGGTTTGGGTCAAAATTCCGTACCCCCTGTGAACATCCCAATCCCCACTAAAATAGACCAAAATGGGTGGTGCATCTACCCCAAAATGGTACCATGGTTTTGACCCAAGTCAAAAAACGGAGCCCTGGCCGACTGTGTTTTGGCATGCGAGCCTGCCTTTGGCCCAGGACATCGCTGCGGACCCGCGGCTGGCGCAGATGCTGCGCAGTCTGAGGCGGGGGGGTTGGGGGGGGGGGTGCGGGGAATCCGGCTCCAACGGGCAGCAAGAAGTAAACCGCGTCATAGGCAGGTTCCCCATTTTTTTTCCACGCAAAGTATGAGCATTGGCAGCGTGATCCTTTGGCGGCTTCCATACAAAGAGAGCTATTCTCTCAAAAGCAACCAAGGAGCGACGCAGGTACCTGCACCATTTTCCCTTAGGCCCTGAAGGGTCCATGTTTTGTGGGGGTGGTGACCCAATTCCAGCGCAGGTGCCCCACCTGGATCTTCACCGCCTCGACGAGGGAGTGCCTCAGACAGAGATAAACGGGGAGGGGAGGAGATGTCAAGAGAGCATGGTAAGTACTTCACTCCAGGGTTGGCTTCGCACCCCAACCAACAATTTCAGTGCAGATTTCTCCTTGAAAGGAGATCAAAGGGTGGGTTCACTTCCACCTTTGGAGGGCGGTTACGCTTGGTTTTGGTGGAAGCTGGGGGGTGAGAGGCGGATACTCAAAGCAGCAACCCAGTATCGTTCGTACGTACTGGCAAGTGCGTTCAGCTTCCCAGTTGCATTTGGGTCTGTTATTCCTGTTATTCTTTGTGGGTATTCTTTATGTTGCTTGTTTTGAGCTGCAAGCAACATGTCATTTCACCCGCCGCGGATGCACTTGAAAGCATGGCAGACGCCATGAGACGAACAGGCAGCAAGTCAGCGCGTTTGTCTCAATGAATGCGATGGTCCGAGAGGGCCTTTTCCAATATATACTTGCAGATCTGGGCTGCATGTAGGCCATCGCAAAATTGTGACATAATTTGGGTCGGAATATTTGCCAATCGGTTCAACCGATTGACAAAAGATCTCTTCCCAGGCGTGTGGTCCAATGTGCAGCACTCATCTCATCTACAGTTTTGATTTATCAGCCAAAAAGGGATGCATATGCTTTCAGAGAGAACCATCATTTCGCTCGTCTTTTCCAATTCTTTGAATGATTTTGCCATCCACGCGCCACCCCCCTGCCGGCAGCTCGCCCCCCTTTGCTCAAACCTCGCATCCCTTTCACCGGCGTCGCATCGTCGCACCATGGGCTCGGGCGCCTCCGCGGAGAAGGACCCCGAGCCGACGCTGAAGGAGGAGGACCTCACCGCGGAGGAAAAGGCGCGGGTGGCGGCGGCCGTGAAGGAAGCGACCAACGCCACCCGGTGGATGGATGGTGGATGGACGGCTGGGTGAGTGGACGGGTGGGAGGGTGGATAAATGGGTGGGTGGTGGATGTACGGATGAGTGGATTAGTGGGGGGGGGATGTGCGGATGGAGGAAAAGATGGTGGGTGGGTGGATGGATGGAGGAGCAGAGAATCTTGTGATAGGTTTGGTTCGATTTCCCTTCCCTGGCACGCAGTAGCATGCAGTGACACGCTGAGGAAGCCCTGGAACAGATCAACAAGGAACGCGGCTGGAAGAAGGCTGGCGACGAGCTCAAGCCCAAGTTGAAAGAGCGAAAGTTTTCCAAGGAACAGCCTGAGAAAACTGTGCTCTTCATCAGTGATGGCATACTTTCCTGGTCTGTGGCTGCCACTGCAGTGAAGGAGGAGATGATGTGAGGGCTGAGGGGTGGGGTGGTTGGAGGCGTTGGCGAATTTAGCATTTCGAGCTGGCAGGTCCATGGTGGTTTCAGGGTGGTTCCATGCTATGTTGAAGCTCAATTAGTTGCGCTCCAAGTTGGCAATGCGGAACAACGGTTGAGACAGCATGGATGACAATGGTTCGGACTGTTTCGATGGTGATGCTTAAGAATGGCGAGGAATGCGCAGGGAAACTATCAAGAATGATTCACAATGGCCGACTGTGGTCAACGATGTGAACTGATGCTGATCAATCTCTCATGGCAAATCATGCTTCGCAGTGGTTGACGTCTGTCAAGAGTGGTCAACGATGAAGGGCTGACAGCGATTGACAAGGGGTAATGTCTGATGATTGTCATTGTTGCGCATCAACCCACAATAGGGAGCGGTCCGCCAATCATTGGGGATCTTGAGAGAGGTTCCGAGCCTTCCTATTACGCAATCGTGGCGAGCAGCATTGGCAATCCTGACACGAGTTGCCCCCCAAGTTGACGGCCAACCATAGCACTTGGTCAATGGCACCCTGCAGGACGTGATTCCCATGTGGTACCCCGCCAAGGAGCAGCACTCCTTGTCGGATGATTTGGTTGCAGCTTTCAAGGAGGCTGAGATTCCGGAGGGTTCCCTGTCGCAGTTTGGATGGATGTTCCATGGTTCGGAGATGACCGGCGAGCACAAGGAGAGGAGAAGCGAAGCGCGGGCGAAGCGCTAGAAGGGTTCTCGCGGGGAAAGTGAGGGCACTTCCAATCTTTTAGCGTGGGTTTGTGAATTGAACGCTCGTTGGTAGAATGGCCATCATTCCCAAGGATTTGTTGAAAACGGCGTAGAATTATGTTTGTGTGCGGCAGACCGATCTATGATACACATGGTTCAAACAGCGCAACAATCGTTGCAACACAATAGTATAGACAAGGCGACAATCATAGTATCGCAGCGATAAAACAAGGGTGTTTGTTCTCTTTGCTTTTTAAGATGCTAGCCTTCCCCCGAACATCGCATCTGAAGGGGACCTGGAAGATCCATCTCCCCAATGGTAGGAGGGTTGGGTTGGATGCTGAAGCTTCAGGAAGCCAATTTGAAGTTCCTGGCCGCCCTAAAGCCGTACATGGCAGCGGATGGTCGAGTGGACATCCTGGCTTGCGAGTTAGTGGCTGGCGAGACCGGGATGAAGGTGCCAACGGACATGGTGGACATGGCGCCCCAAAAATGTGTGACACGTTGCAGAGGGCCATCCAAGCACTAAAAACATGTGCCATTGATGTACTGATGTACTGATCTTTGCAGAAACTTGGCTTTCAAAAGCCCGAGTCCATCCACTATACTTTGTTGGATCATCACTACCGCGTCAGATAAATAATCAAAGGAAGTTTACGAGGAACACAAGCGCTTTTCCATGTGAGCGGGCCGCACACACGGCCCTTTGACCGAATTCGGTTCTTCCGCATGTGCGCAAACCAACTCGATCTCGACACCTGCCCGACAGCGCTTTGGCTGCCTTTTAAAACCTGCACCTGAGCACTTTCGGTGGCTCAACCCTCAAAACTCAAGCCCTCTGTTTTGGATTCGCTCGTGTGGCCCATGATTTTTGATGGGTTCAACGCGCATATTTTGTCTTTACGATTTTCACTGCACTCGCGTGACCTTTTGATTGAAACATGTACGCTTTGCTAGCGTGACCCGCTGCGGACTTTTGAATTTACGCGACACACCTTACGAGTAAACTAGACCACGCGAGAGCTAGGAAATAGAAGGTGGCCGACAACGTGGCCTGTGCGTGAATTCGGCTCTTCTGCCTCGATCTTGACGCGGCGCCTGTACGCACGCGGGCTTGCAGGGGAAGAAGCGAACCCTTTTATTGCTTTCGGTGGGTCGACCCTCCAAGCTTGTGCTTTTGTTTGCGATTTCATGTCGCTTGCTCGCGTGACTCTCTGCAGACTTTCGATGGGTCGACCTCAAACAACTCGTGTTTTCTGAGTTTTTACTTCGCTCGCGTGACCCTCATGTTTTTTATTTTTGTGTTTTTCAGGTCAAGGGACAGATAAATAAAATCAAAAGGGGAAAGATAATGAGAAAGGATAATCAAAAAGAAAGGACACAATTAAAACAAAGAGAAAGAGAAGAGAGGAGGAGAAAGAGAAAGAGAAAGAGAAAGAGAAAGATAAAGAGAAAGAGAAGGAGAAGGACACGGATAAGGAGAAGGGACAAAAGAGAGAGAGAGAGAGAGAGAGCGAGAAACAGATAGAGAGGGAGAGAGAGAGAGAGAGAGGGATAGAAAAAGAAAGAGAAAACAAAAGAGAAAGAGAAAGAGCAAGGGAAAGATAAAGAGAAAGAGAACCAGAACTAGAAGGGAAGCAGAGGAGGAGAAAGAGAAAGAGAAAGAAAGAGACGGAGAAAGAGAAAGGGAAAGGGAAAGCGAAAGAGAAGGAGAAAGACGAGTAAGAGAAAGAAAGGGAGAAGGGAAAGATAGAGAGAGAGAGAGAGAGAGAGAAGAAGAAGAGAAGTAGAAAGAGGGAGAGAGAGAAAGAGACAGAGCACGAGCAAGAAGTGATAGATAAAGAAGAGAACAAACACATCCCAGCCATCCCGCCCATTGATCCAGAATGAGCTCACCACTGTTTTCCCATCTGAACTCTCTATCCATTGCTGTCCTTTTCTCACTTGTTGGTTGATTCATAGGGGGGCACACCCAAATTCACAACCAATACAGAAACAAACCAATCACGAACCAATAGCAAACAAGCAGCGAACCATTCACCAATCAATATGCAAAATGAATGAATGCCAGACCATTTCATTTTCAAACACTCCCCCCTCCAAAAAAACCATCCTGGTTTCCTTGCAAACCACCAAACAACAGCCCAAAAGCAGGCACACCCCTTTTCACCCCCGTCCATTTCGCAGGTCTTCAAAGAGTTGGAGGCTGAGAGCGGATTGAACCTGGCGGCGTCCACGGACTTGACGGGCAACAAATCCTCCGGGGGCAACTGGCTCCTGGAAACCGATGGGGTCAACGTCAAGGAGGGACGCGACTTCCGCCGCGAAAAAAAAAAGAAAAAAAAAGAAAAAAAGAGAAAAAAACAAATCTGCCTGGTTTGGGTGCGAGAGCATTGGTGATTGGGCTGGGATACTGCCGGAAGAAAAACGCAGAATTGTCGGGTGAACATGGCAACAGAGTGGATCACATCGGAACTTGATTTGGGAGAGGCATTCAAGTTTGGTGCATGCAGGACATACATGGCTTGCACCATTTTGTGTTCTACGCCGTGGCCATAGGTCCTTTTGGGCCGTTGGGCTTGTCGCATCCGTGGGAGTAGCGACCTCGGATTGATAAGCCTACTGTGGGTGGACGAAATCCTGCACCAGTCTAGAAGCCCTGGAATGATGCTTCCCCTGTAAATCCCAACAAACAATGGTTTCCCAGAGTTCTTAGGTGGTGCAGGATTTCGTCCATCCACAGTATGGATGGAAGTGCCAGTCAACCCTGGAGGGTTCCTAGCGGCGCAGGACACCTATTTCACTGAGAAAGTCGATGCCTTCAGCGAGACATTGCTGGGCTACGCTCTCCACCGAAAGCTGCAGAAGAAAGCCCGAGGAAGAAGGTGAGCCTCTTGAGCCGGGCATTTGGCTCTGGGCCTATGGGTTGAAATTTGAGCTGAAAGTCATGGCAAGCATTCCATGGATTACCGTACGCGTTTGTGGTTTGAGGTTGGTGTTGCAGATCTTCCATTTTGACCCATCGACCTGCATGGCGGCATGGGAAGTTCAGTTTGGAGGAGTGTTTTGCAGAAAGTCTTCAACTGTCCACAAGAAGATGTGAAGACATCATGGTCAATGAGTCGATGATGGATTTACACGGATAATTTTCCATTGCCACGACACTCAAAGGCAACCTTGAAGGTATTGCCTCAATCCCTTGTAGGCGGCAAGACGTGTTGACAACGCCCATGGTGTTGTCGTTCTTTTCTGCCACGTTGGCTGACAGAGCAAACGAAAAGGCTTTCGCAGCTTTGGACCTGCATTTGAGAGCCATGGTGTTAAGCCACACCCACATAAGCAACATTGGCGCACTAGCCTCGGATGTGGAGAATCATCCCACTTAACTTTAGAGCCTCCGGCTCAGTCCGCCGACATTGTCCTCTCCCTTTTCTCCTTCTTCCTCTCTCCCTTGTCTCCCTGGTGTGTTCTGTCGTC